GATTTTTATTTATCACAAATAGGTTATTATGCGGATCAATTATCGGTGGCGCAAGAGGTTAGAGGTAATTTGACAGTAAAAGTAAAAAACGAGTCACGAGAGTTTCACTTGAACAATCTCAGTTACGCCGGACCTATTGTCATGGGTGTAGGAGGTAATTTTATACAGTTATTTAAATTATAATGATATATCTGCATTATATATACAAATATACGTACATACATACCTACATACATACATACATACATATACAAATATACGTACATACATACCTACATACATACATACATACATATACAAATATACGTACATACATACCTACATACATATATACATACATACATATATACATACACACATATATACATACATACGTATATACATACATATATATATACATACATATATACATACATACATACATATGGCCGTATATACATGATATTTCACACCAATGTATAGACAATATTTGACATAGGATACATAAATAAATATAAAATGTGTAAATTTGCAAGTAATAATACGATAATTTATCGTTTATTTAAATTTTTAATGGAAGTTATCGTTAAATACATTGATATACTTTTAATTGACTTACCCGATTTCTTTTATTTTTCCTGATAAACAAAATTAATATTTTACAATTTTTAAAATTTTTATTTTTTTTTTTATTGTTGTTGTTGTTAATTTCATACATCTTTCGAAGGAATTTAAAACGAAAGAAAGAGTTAAAGATGACTTTTTCGCGTTTTGTAACAATCGATATCGAGATATTTCATTTTAGTACTACAAAATGTATAACCATTAATTTTTTTTTTTTTCCAAAACAAATATTCTTTTTTAACGTCAAATAAAATACTCGTCTTATTAATGTGATGTAAAGGAAGTGAAAAAAAAAGAAAAAAAAATTGCAAAAGAAATTGCCCCCAGAGAGATTTGAACTCTCGACCCCTGGTTTACAAGACCAGTGCTCTAACCCCTGAGCTATGGAGGCTTGTGGAAGGAAGTTGAATAGGAAGATTGAATAGACGTCTGTCTGGAATGAATATTTCATTCTTTCAACATTAGAATAACGAAGAAGGAAGATAAAAAAAGGAGTACTTAGCTTTCGTTGAAATTGTCACGCATTTAGGTGATCCCTTTCGTTTCAGGATTTATCGTGGTGGCCGTGTGCGTGATGACTTTCGAGGCACGCGATAGCGCGGCTAAGGTGGTACCGGCACGTTTTCGATTCAATCAGAGTACGTTAAAAGGTGGGAGGACTCAACGAAATCGTAGATCAACGTCTTGTCAAACGACTAACAATAAGTGGGATCATCAATATGGTCTATTCAGGATTAATCGGAGTTTGAGTCCTAGCGCTCATGAAATCTCCCGAAGACAGTTAAAGGCCGAACTAGTGCGATTCTCACGAGATTTACACGAGAAAAGTGTATCGCATACGATTAAAAAGAGTCCAAGTGCTCCGATTTTGATCGATAAGAAATCACCTCGGAGAGAGGTTCCTCAGTATGCTGCCTGTGCACTCCTCAATCCACAATTATTGCAGAGACACGCTCTATCCGTTGATAATCCCGCTTACAGTCCTCCTCAAGTAAGGAAAATCGATTAATATACATGAGATAGAGAGAGAGAGAGAGAGATAGAGAGAGTTTCCATAAATTTTATGAATTGTGTTACGCCATTTGAATATCTTTAACGGGAGCAACGTCGAGCACTACTTTCTTTCGTTATCTGATATTTTTTATTTATAAATTCTCGGTGTTTCTTCTTTCTTACCTTTCAATCATCCCTTTTTATTTTGTACCTCTTTTTTTCGTGGCACATAGATAAATTTAGAATGTAGTATTTTCAATGGCACGCTATAGGACGTCATTCGATTTTTAGTTTATTTATATCATTTATTAATTGTACGAGGGACGTTGGAATATATTACGATACGGAAAAAAAAGAAAAACGCACATGCACACACACACACACACACACACACACACATAAATGACGTCAATAATGAAAATATCGAAAAAATGAAAAAATAAAAAAGTTAACGTTAAGCCGTGTTATTTTAATATTATTTTGGGAGTAAATATCGCCAAAGTGTTCAATCTATTCGTCAATCGTATCATCAATTTTGAAACAGGTTAGTCGGGAGAGTTTGGAATATCCAAAATTAACTGGCAGTCAGGTTTCAATGGCTATGGATCTTCATATCCCTAATAAAGGACCGGTTACGTTGAGAGTAAAAGATCGATCGGACACAGCGAAACGTCATCAGTTGCTTCGGCAAACGAAAATCGAAGATGTCGAGGAGATCATGGAAACGAAAAGACCAACATCCGGATATATATATTCACCTAGATTATCAGGTTAGTGATTAACGCAAAGTATCCATCAATAAGTAATTGTGTACTGACAATGGATAAAATTACAGGCATATATAGCAAATATCCTGGGGAATATGTAATCGGTAAAAGAAATTCTGTAGACGTTCGGTATTTGGAAGATCTCGGGTCCGTTACAAGAGATTCGGTGAAAGTTTCACCACGAGATTTTCGAAAACTTTCATCTCCGAACTTTCGTAAAATGTCTTTCGATAAAATCGGCGGTGGTGAGCATAGATTGGATAAATCGATGATGGGCCATCGAAAGGCTAGTTTGGAGTTTAGAAGGAGTCCGGATTTTCGTCGAGGTGATTACAGGTGTGCGAACGTAATTTATCGTATTTATTTATCGATCGTATTTACGACCGAATACTTATTATTATATAAATATATAATATATAATATTAGAAAGCTATCGGTGGACAGATTCAGCGTGGATTATACCAAATGCGTAATGGATGAGCTCGAGTTTAGATCCAAGGCAAGCAGCGGTGAGAGCTTAAAGAGACAACGTTATCCTAAACTTCATCATTCTCGATCGGACGACAACAGAAGACGTTCCTTCGATAAAGGTCAAAGAGAGTCACAATCCAGCAGATATTCATTGAACACGCAAGGTGCTACGGACAGTGCCGATTACGATCTAAGATATTTTATTTCAACTTCATTGAGCACCGAGGAAAGTCGTACAGAAAATCCGGAAGATAGTCATGGTTTCGACATCGATGAATCCTTGACTAATCCTTCGCCGTTGGAGGGCCAAGCGGAAACGGATACGCTATTGGAAGAACCAGAATTGGAGAATCTCACGGAGAATGACACCGAAAATTCCGCTGATCATTTAAATTGCGAAGATACGAAAAAGATGGAGGATCATTCGATAAAGGGTGAAGATATGATGCTGCAGGATTGGAAGAATATTTTAAAGCAATCGGAAATAAAGAAGGAAACGATGTTGTGCATAGAAGACGACGAGGTTTGAAATCATTTCTATTTGTTTATTACTTCTTCGGACGTTTTTCCAAAAAAGAAAGTGAGTTCATGATTTCATTTTGGATCGACGTGTCTAGTCGAGTTTTACTCTAGTCGCGATGCATTAATATGACATGCAAACGATTAATATATTTTAAGTGATTAATTGTATATATATACATATATATTTGTGTAATTTGAAAGCGTGCGCTTTAAAGATGCTGTTATATATCGTCGAATATGATTAAAGAGAGCGAAAGAGATGACGTTAGGATTTAAATTGTCTATTCGTAAAGCGAGCCCAAAAGATCAGAATATTTCGAGGACCATTGATTTAAATAGTGGATACAACAACTCTGTGATTTGTAAAGTGTAGCAATGCTGTAAGATGACGAAAGGCAATTATGAAAAAAGAACGAGCTTTTTAAATTACAGATTTTACAAGATTTTAATACGACACTCGTTAATACGGCCTTTGAATTGTTATTATATTATCAATGTTTTAAAACTTTAAATATTTATTGTAGATAAATCGTCGTATATATAATGAAATAAGAAGGAAAGAACTAGAAAAAGGTTTTAAAAAAAAGAGTCAAAGTTTTAGATATTCTTTAAATCGCTCGTTCGTCGATTCTTTACTTCGTTTTAATCGAATCGAAGAATTATTTATCGATCGATTTTTTCGATGTCATATAGAGCGAATTAAAGCGAGAAAAGGACAATAAAATTCGTACGAGTATTGTCACGCAACACTCTAAAAGACACTCGCGAGAAGTTTAATGAGATTGGTCAGTTTTCTCTTATACCAATTGCCTATCTTGACTTCAATTATTTAGATATTATAAGAATAATAAAAAGAAGTGAATTCGTTCGATTATTTAAATTAACTTTACCATTGACATAAAACGATAAGGCGTCGATACAATCACAATAATACTTATATGTTATTATGTAAAAGATAAGACAAATTGTAACTCGAATATAAAGAAGAGAAGACTAATAGGAGACGTTAAATAACATTATTTATATCTCCTAATAGCTCTAATCGAATGGATTGTATTAATAAAATTAAAAACGATTTCGTAAGAAATTATTGTTTCTCTTTCGAAATTCTAAATGTAATTTTTATCAAATCGAGGAGGGTTCCATAATCGTACTATAAATACAGAACCATAACTTTCTACGGCTGAACTCACTTAAATTATATTCTTCTCACGGAGGGGACTGAAAATTGAAACAAATTCGTTCTCTAATGAGAAGTTTTTCATTAGTTCGACTTTGACGGATATATCTCGAGCGTACCTTTTTCAGGATTTGGGGGAGCTTACGATGCTAAGAGAAAGAGAGAGAAAGAGAGAGAGAGAGAGAGAGACGACGAGGAGGTAAGTAGTTTTTATTATGTACGACTAGGATTCTGAGATCCTTTAAATTATATACGAACAATGAGGAAAGTACAGACTAAAGTCGAAGTTAAAGATTAAAAGGTAAATTAATCTATTTACATCCGAGAGATGCGATTAGATTTGCTATTTGATTAAAAGTTAAATGATTTAATTAGAAGTGACGATAAGGATCCATAGTTACATAAATATATTGTATATATTTAAGGGAAGTCGGTTAAATAGATAAACAAATTTAATGCCAACGTAAAGACCGTAAGGTTTAATTTTATTTTTATTATTTCATAATTCGACAACGATAGAGATTCATAGATGAGGACAGAAGATTTATATTTTATCGTTTTGGAGATTGATTCATCGATGGAGGTTAGCGTCGTCTACCGAAACGTAAAAAGACGTGATCGACGTCTTGTCTCTTAACTCCGCTTCCTGGTAACGGGTTGTTCTCTTCAAGAACTGAAACTTTATTGAGAATTTGTTATAGTTTTAATTTAGATCTTAATGTGTTAATTATGTTTCTTTTTTATTTTTTAATTTTTTATTCGTCTCTTTTTCTTTTTTTTCTTTTCTTTTCTATTCTATTCCATTCTTTTTTTTTTCTTTCATTCTTTCTTTTTTCTTCTCAATGGACAGTCGAGACCACGATCCACGACGGATCAATCGCCGACGGCGCATCGCTGCAGGCTATAATTGTTCAATCGTGGTCGTACGGTATTAAACATGATTGCGCGATCGTCACGTTTGAGAGAGAAAGAGAGAGAGAGAGAGAGAGAGAGAGAGAAATCAAGCATCGGTTGTTGGATTCGCACAATTTTTTTCTTTCACTGATCATTGATTGCGTCTTTAGCAAATGAAAACAATTTCACAATTTTCATGCGATCTTCGATTCTTTTTGACTATCCATAGAGGAGAGATTTCTACGAATTAATACGAGTACTTCGTCGTATATGTTTTTTTTTATTTAAATCATTTGGAATCATTTCTTCATTAATTTTACAATATGAAACGTTCCCAAATGTATTATATAAATGTCAGTTACCCTTGTCGCCGACGTAACTTTCCATTGCAGATTGAATTTGATATATGGTGGATAAAGCTGCACAGATTTTTCGTACTTTAGGTGGTACTTCGTCGAGGAGGCCAGGACTACATTGGGCCAGTGGCATTGCGAAAATTTCTCCGAATAAAATCGACAGGGCGGCGACGGAGACGACGATCTTAATCATCGAGTTCATGATTTCCTGTAAAATATAAAATAAACATAGAGATAAAGAAATGGAGAGAAGTTGGAAGTAAAACGATTTGAGAAAAAGTCATTGAGTGATTATATTCGACGAATTTTCGACGTGTTCTAGTTTATTCTTCGTTTTATCAACTAGAATATCGTTATAATAAGATTCTAGGAAGGATTATAAATAATCGGAATCATAGTCTAGAAATGTAGCCCTTGATCCAAAAATTTGGTGCATCCCCGACCCGATGCCAGGAACCTTTCTGGCATAATACCAATTCTCATTGGTACATCTTCATCGCTGTCGTCGTTGTCTTGTATCCACCTGTTTTCAAAATTTTGAAGAGCTTTGCTCGCTTTAAAATCGAGATTGAAAATATATCTCGGAACGATTTTATGAAAAATTTCTTCCGTTGTTTTGTTATGCGTCGCTTAAAATCAATTTATCACAAACAAATTACGAAGAAAGCATTTGATTTCATATTTAAAAAAAACTAGATGCCAAATGAAATATCGTTGTTATTATTGTTATTATTTTGTTGTTGCATTGATTTCTAATCGCTTATTGATCAACTTTCTTTTTATCGAACGCACGGACAAAAATATTCCTTTATATCTTTCTTATCGCTTGTAAATTTCATTATTTACGCGACACGATACGAGGTAAGAATAATAAAAAAGGAAAAAGAGAAAAGCGTTCGGAAAAGCCGATAAAAAAGATAAAAGAAATAAATTTTATTTCTCTTTCGCATCTCAAGTTTCTACTTTTCTAATATAACGACCAGTGATCCGTGGACTTTTATTAAATTTGGAATCTTGTGTATGTATATGTATGTATGTGTGTGTGTGTATGTATGTTTTTTTTTTATATAATAGATCGCTTAGGAATAGTTGGAAGAGAGAAGTTCAAGACGATGTTCGGCCAGTATAGAATACGAGATACGATGGATGTCGTCGGAAAAGAGCGTACTATTACAAAAGATAGAACGCCATTCGAAATTGTCGAGTAAATAAAGCTCGTTGATCTGAATGCGATCTTAAAGTCAAACTCGATAATCCTCTTGACACGAGGACTGGCGTGCGTGCTCGGATTCTTCGATACTTTTCCTAGACGTTATCTTTACACGCGATATCGAGGAAGCGTGGGAAGCAGGTAACCTGGCTATACCCCATAGTTAAATTGTCGAGTTGAGCCTTTTCTCCTTCGTTTTTCGATCACACTTTTGATCGGAGTGGTAAGTCGAGCGAAAGGGCAACGTGATGAGCCTAACGGATTCGAACATGGTTAGATATTCGTTCGTGAAAGGATTACTTTATCGTTCTTTTTAGAAGTACAGTGAGTGTGTGTGTACAGTGATGTATGTATGTATGTATGTATGTATGTACGTTTAGAATGTTAAAGAAAAATGATGACTTTTTTATATTCTTCTACATTGCAGTAAAAATATTTCCTTCGATAAATAATCTTTTTGATTTAATAAATTTTTTCTTCGAATTCACTTTAAAATGATAATATTCCTCTTTTTTTTTTCTTTTTTTTTTGTGTGCATATATGATAACAGCACGTAAAAGATGGGAAATCGAACCTGTATTCTATTCCAATTTTCATTCATTCTCCGAGGTAGATTCTCGAGGTAGTTTCTCGAGGTAGATTCTCGAGGTAGATTCTCGAGATAGGTAGGAGGTTCAAGCAAAGTGGCTGCTCCTTAGATAGGTAAATAGCTTTGAGACACGTAGATGTAACAGGTGGTCTGAATTCATTACGTCTAGAGTTGGAAGTCGCAACGGTTATGTTACAAACATGAATATTCCAAGAACTTGGTCAATTTCACTTACTACATAGAGAGATGTCCCTATACGTCTAACTTATACGTTTGTATTCAATTTGACGTCGAGACAAAAAGGATAGAAAATGAAATGAGACTCGATAGCGAACATATATGAGGATAGGTTCCCAAGCACAATAATTTTCCTACCACCCTTCTTTTATCTAAATCAGGGAAGAAAGTCGTCTTGGAAATCTTTTCTCGAGTTATTGTATACTCTATTGCCGAGTCCCCCTTTAATCGTCCACCGCAATTAGACTTTTACTCGCTCACATTCCCCAGAGACACCTGACACCAAAGCTATGACTCTAGCGAGGAAGACTTTTTATTGGCTCGTCTAAGAAAGTTATCTCACGATTGTTTCTTTCTTTCTTTCTTTCTTTTTTTTTTTCACGAAACTCTCATGATAAAAAGAAGAAATGAAAAGAAAAACAAAATATTGTCGATCGGGGTTGCACACGATACATTTATTTCATTCTAATGGAATTTTATATTTTCTAAGAATTGGGGGATATTTTCTTCGACCAGATGCGATACCCTATTCGAGAGAGTCATAAATTTTTTATACAGATTCATTTTTTATCGATATTCATCGGGCTCTCTTTTAAAAAAAAAAAAAAAAAAAATGTTATGGCAAAGAATGACGAAACTCTGTATATCTGTGGGTATGGATGTGTACAACGCGGATCTTGTGATAGTTAAACTTTGAGCGTAAACAACATATTATCGTCTTTGAAACTCATCTCTCTCCCTCTCTCTCTCTCTTTCTCTTTCTCTCTTCCTCTCTCTATCGATATTATTAATTCGTTAATCTTCGAGCGACTTTGTAACTTTTACAACTTTGTTAATTCAAAAGTTTCCTAAGCGCATGACTCCACAAAAAATATATAAGGAAGAGTTTCAGTCGATCGAAAGACACGTCTCCGACGTCTTATCAGAGTATATACGTATATTGAATTTACGTTCGGATTATACGTTCATCGCTCTCTAAGTAGTTTTTATTAACGCAAACTGGCCGCTTGGAATTGTTCGGTTAGTCATTCTCAAATGACAGAGCGATCTTCGCGTTTCCTCGATACTGGAACATTCTCATTTCAAAATTTGTAATTTCCAACTAATTTCAACGACGGATATTAAAAATCAATGTCAAATCTCCGGCATTGATGTTGAACACCAAACTTTATGCAATCTGTGAATTCCCAAAATGAATTTCGTTTCTTCTTTTTTCTATCGCTTATTCTTGCAACGATAATTCCTTTCGTTCGTTCTAATACCTTCGATAGATTCAGTAAGATAGAAAATAAATGAAACTAGGCCGAATTTGTATCGATTCGTAATAAACACATGTTCAATCAGATTATATTTAAACATTAATTATTACTACGATATTATCTTGGAAATATATCTTTACTCTTCTGATATGAGATATAGATAAACTTTCTACGATATTAAATACATTTATTAAGATAATGTAAGGTTTTTGGCGAAAATGGTTAATGCAGTTATGAATTGTACATTTTATTTTTCCGTAAAATGCAATAAAAATAATATTTTATTTTCAATTGTAGGAGAAGTTTTTTACGGTTAGTCTGTAAAGTTTAACTATCCCTACGAACGATATACGGAATACCTGTTGCATCGAGCCCCTCAAGGCACGTTGCTCATATTGCACGAGAATTGGTCGACTTAAAGATGCCACTTCTTTTCTTTTTCTTTTTCATTTTTCTTTTTTTAGTTTTACTTCATTTCGATCGATAATGAATTTCTACAAAAGGAACGACTTCCGGCCTAGTCTCATTTCTCGTGATTACAAATGATACATTTTTATCGCATCGATCGTATAATCATCCAAGATATTAATAGATGCCGATATATACATACACGCACATGCACACGTACACACGCGCGCGCGCTCACACACACACACACACAGACATGACAGAAGGTCATTATAAAAAAGAATTAATTAATTGCAGAAAATAGAAATTAACTTGAAGTTCTCATTTCTTATTGAACATTCCTTTTAAAATTATGCTTTTATCTCGTAAGGCAATATAAAAAATCTTACGTATCAGATGTCACGTATTAATATTTTTACAATAACGATACATTCAAATAAGGAAAAGAATTTTTTTCACATGATCGAGACGAACAAATTTAATTCAGGATCACGAAAAAAAGCTACGGGACGTGACAATATACGCACACGTAAAAGTATACACATACCTGTATATATGTATTCAACGATGCACAAGAAGGAAAAGAAAAAAGAAAGTAATAAAAAGGAAGAGAAAAAGAGAGATGGGTTGCTGCTTTGAATATGAGTATCTTCAACGTGCCACTCACCCCTTGTTTCGGTGCAAAGATGCAACAGGCTATCGAGGATACGTACACGTTGATACGAAAGCACAGGTTTACTTTATACGGAAAAAAAAGAGAGAGAGATAGAGAGAGAGAGAGAGAGAGAGAGAGAGAAAGAGAGAAAGAGAGAGAAACAGACAGACAGAAATAGAAAAAAAATAAACAGGTTGAGAAAATTAGATAGAGAGACACGCGATAAAAATAAAAGCTTTTTACCGGCGTTTGTAAATTTCGAGAGTCGTTATATTCGCGAGATGATTCGTCTCTCGTATTCTTGTATCGAGCAACTCGTGGAGTCGATGATTGCAGTGATAGTGGCGAGCACCCCGAAGCAACAGCCCTTAAATACGCGCGATCCAGACTGGCATGGCATGCGCGTTGTTCCATGGGACGACAGGGAAATAGTTCGCACACGCATGGAATGAACGTGTCTTTCACCTCTTCCTCGTCTTCCTCGTCTTCTTCTTCCTTTTCTCCTTTTTATGCTAATGTCCGATTTCATTCGATGTTCCTACATAAAAATTTCATGCTAATTCGTTGTCTGCGGTGATAATGGAAATAAAAAAAAAAAAAAAAAAAAAAAGAAAAGAGTTGCATAACGTGACGCTAACACGTAAAAACCTGGACAACAAAAGAGATTAAACCATCTTTAAGGATTTAGAATTTTTCACCAAAGAAATCTTATGATTTTCATCTCTTTTATCTTTTTATTATCTTTATAGAATGAAGTTTGATAATAAAGATTAAAGGAACGTTCGATAAGGTAAGGAAAAGAAAGGACATTTCGTCATACTTTTCGTCGTTTATTTTTACGATCGTTAAGACGAGTCAATTAAGAAGACAGTTTATCCCATAGCGAATCCCATGGCGCTGTCAATTAATAAAGAAATAATCGACGAACCATGAAATATATGAGTCCTTACTCTTTCTAACGTTCTATTTATCTAATTGTTAAGATAATTACAGAATATTTCTTTTGGTTTTATTTGCGATTGGTGTGAAAATTGAATTGGGCAAATTTTAGTCGATAATCATTTTTTATATATGTGCTTATAATTTCTCAAGCAAAAAATCTTCTACAAACAAATAATATCTATCTATCGAAGAGTTTACTCAAAGTTTAAATTTGCCAATATAATAAATCGATCCTACTTCTTCGTTGATATACGAGCGATCATTCGGGTACGTGTGTAAATCATCCGCCGGAAGAATTAATATCTTCTCGTAATATCCCTCTTTAAAACGCAAACGTCATTGATACGAATCACTATGGCACGGCTGATCATTCCCATGTATTATCTTTTCGCTTATCTTATACGGATTCTAGGTATTCGTCCTATAGTCCTATCGTTCGATTTAATAGTACATTTTCACCAAGAAATTTCATCATCGTACGAATAACATCGAATTTTAAATGGAAAATGTCATATAACTCTGTCGGCATAGTTTACCATATATTCCCGTTTGAGTTTAATCGATATAATTTTTCGAATAAACATTATGAGCTTACGTGTATATATATATATATATATATATATATATATATATATATTATATATATACATACATAGATGTATATATAATAATACGTAAACTTTTACGTTCAACGGGAAAAGTCGTTTAAAGTGACATTCTCAGGACAGTTGATGCAAACTACGATAGGAGCATTTTTCTTTAAAACTCGAAACACGAGGACGTAAGTATTCCATGCAGCCGACACTCGAAAATTAATTAACGCTAGCCGGTACATCCATCCATTCATCCATCCATTCATCCATCCATTCATTCAAGCAACCATCCATCCATCCATCCATCCATCCATCGTCGTACGGGAATGATACAAGCTCAAGGTAATTAAATCGCGGATTTGCATTCGTTAAATGCGTTAAAGGAAAGGACGAAAGGCATTGTGTACGCACGTACACGGTGTTCTCTTATCTATTTTTTCCTCTTTTAGATTTCGGAAGAAAATAAGAAAAATCTGACGAAAAGTACTAGGTCATAGTTTAGATCATAATGTAAATATATAGAAATGTTCATCGTTAAAGTAAGAACGATATCGTTCTCTCACGTTCTCTTAAATTTCATCTTATTATCTATCATTGATATGAAGTGATCAATCCAAAAAAAATTCGATTTCGACAGATTCGATTCAAATCCGCCAAGCGACTTATTTTATAAGAAACAACATCAACAACAGCAACGACGACAACAATAAGAGATTTACTACCGAGTAACCATCTGGGAGTATTTTCTTGGTAATAGAATAATAGATATCCGTTTCCTATCGTGTTTTGCTGTTGGCAATGCGAAAGAATCTCGAAAAGACACGAAGATGCGATGCACACCTGTCACGCTACGTCGAGCTAAGCGTTGGCAGCGGATTTCATGCTGCGATTCCGATGAAAATGAATTTACATCCTACGAATACACATACACACATAAATAAATACATGTGTATTCGACGAGATTAAAGCAGTTTGTGCGAAAGGAAGTTGGGAACTCTAGATCATGTTATCCTTGAAACGTGAATTAGAGTGAATACTGAACAGGATTAAGGAACGCTTTTAAAGCTTCGCATGTTTTCTTATTAGCAGGACATAACATTTTGAAATAATGTACGTACATCTATATATAAATATATGTATATATATAGATATATATATACATATATGTTCTTTATCATTCGACAAATTATAATCTTGAAAATTAAAATTGGATATATAATTACAAATTTTTATTTATTATATATATATATGTATATATACAATTTTAGTTTTCAAGATTACATATAGGTATATAATAAAAAATAAAATAAACAAAAATTATATATATGTCTAATAAAAAACTATATATATATATATAATATTTAGTATATAGTACACAGTTTGTAGTTACACTTTGTCGAATGATAAGGAAGAAGAAGGGAATAGAAGAATCGAAGTTATAAGAAAATATCATTACTAACAATAATAGTACTCGATCTACGTATGTAAATTCGAGAACTGATAAATAATGAAAACAAAGTTATAATGAAATAACAAGATAAGACTTAGAAACAGTATTATATCATTCCAAATCCGGCGCTTGTTTGGCATAGCCCAATTTTTGTAGGACCGTTTTTATTTCATGGAAGACCAGAGGATTCTCGATTGTGCTAGGCATCTGTAAAAAGATCCAACGAATATAGAATATAGAATATAGAACTTCTCTCTCTCTCTCTTTTTTTTTTTCTTATCTATTATTTTCCTTCGTCTGCGTCTACGAAAGTATCGTTTCAACGATACTCAAATCTTAAAAATAGAAATATAATAGAAAATGTGATATTGTTTTAGTACCTTAACTTGTTCGGAATTCGCTATTTTGGAAATGATTTTACGCATAATTTTTCCGGAACGTGATTTAGGTAAACCATTGACGGCATCAATGATTTTAAATGATGCGATAGGCCCAATCACTTGTCTAACGTTTGCGATCAGTTCCTGATTGATGTTTTCAGTTTTATTAGTCGTTCCTGAAAGACGTAGAAAGACATAGAGCATTACTATTAATAATTCGATAGAATGTTTTTCATTTCACGCTACGTCACTTCGAGAGAAAGTATACGCATAGAGTAAGAGATGTATATAAAATGTGGAATACATCTTAACCTTGATGTTTGACGTAGAGGCAAAGTGGAACCTCGCCTTTAGTACTATCGGAAACGCCAACGACTGCGGCGTCAGCGACGTCAGGATGCGCTAAAATAATATCTTCCAGAGCAAATGTCGATAAACGATGTCCGGCAACGTTGATGATGTCATCGTCGCGCGAAGTTACATAAACATAGCCGTATTCGTCCATATAACCAGCATCCATCGTATCGTAATATCCCTAAAAACAATAATAATAATTAGAGAGAGAGATAGAGAGATTACTACCATGCCTAGCTGGCAGTGACTCTAAAAGCGGCACGAATTACATAAGCATATAGGATAAGTTGTAAAAGGAAAAATTAGAAAATGGTCGATTGTAACTATCAAGAATAGATCGAATTCCTTACCGGATAAGTCGAGAAATAAATTTCATTGAATCTTTTGTCTGCGAGATAGAGGGTGGATAAGCAACCAGGAGGCAGAGGTAGCTTTATAACGATCCTTCCGAGTTCGCGTACCGCTGTATTGTTTCCTTCTTGGTCGAGTATCTCGACTGTAAAAGAATATTTTCATGAATCTTTTCTTCTTCCTTTCGAGAATGAATGAAAACTTACTGCGATAGCCAGGAACCGGAAGACCTGTACTAAACTTTGGCAAAAAATTATCTATCCCATATCCAAGACACAATGCGGTTATTGGGTGTCCCGTTTCCGATTGCCACCAATGATTTATTACAGGCACGTTAAATATACTTTCCACCCACAATTTTGTTTCGTAATCGCAATATTCCCCGGCCACGAATATCGTCTGCAATCTAATCGTTTATCATCGATAGATTTATAGAGATACGTACATATGTTTATTTTATTCTTTGTACAAAACGGATCGTTTAAATTTGGACGATTGAACTTACGATTCCATAGAATATTTTCTACCTAAAAGACAATTGGGATCGGCACGTTTCAAAACTCTAAGTGCCGTTGGTACACAGAAAAGGGCATTTACTTTATGGTGATCTATTATTCTGTAAAAAAAAAAATTTTTAATCGAGAGGATTAAACTTTGTATGAGTTTTTTAAAGTTCGTAAAAAGGTGTATCGACCTAAAGTATTGACTGGCATCGGGTGTTCTATCGGGTTTTCCTTCGTACATCACAGTCGTTGCACCATAGACTAAAGGACCGTAACAAATGTAAGAATGTCCGACGACCCAGCCCATGTCCGAAGCACTCCACCAAACCGAATTTTTATTCATCCCGTAAATAACCTTCATTGACCAGGTAAGAGTCGCCAAGTGACCACCTGTAGGCCTTAGAATTCCCTTTGGATCACCTATTGGAACGATCGATTCAAGTTGAGATCAATCTTTATTCATTCTATTATTAAACGTCGAATAATTACCTGTCGTTCCTGATGTATATAATATATACAAAGGATCGTTAGCCTCGACCGGAACGCAGGAATGTGCTTTGGCTTTACTCAAAATTTCCTCCCAATCATACTGATCAGGACTGAGCGGAAAAGTCCAGATATTTTTTCTTTGAAAGATAATGCATTTCGGTGCTTTCACAGATATTAATTTCAAGGCATCATTTAGCACCGTGGTATATCTAGAACAGTCGTTCAAAGGCATGCTTAAACATTTATCCAAAACCATTTAAACACTTCTAAATAAAAAGAATTTGATATTACGTAATAATTTTGTTAGGCTCCAGACCGCAGCTGGCAATGACGACTACCTTTGGTTTCGCGTGATTTATCCTGTTGGCCAGCTCTTTTGCAGCGAATCCTATAGTCCATTGGAAATTGAAAAGAAAACCGATCGTATTAAGGAATATTGAATAATTATAATTATCAAGATTACCTCCAAAAACAACCGAGTGGATAGCACCAAGTCTGGCGACGGCCAAAATGGTTATTATAGTCTCTGGTATAAGTGGCATGTAGATGATAACTTTATTGCCTTTACTAACTCCAATATCAGCTAAAGCGCCGGCCAGCAACGAGGTTTTTTCCAACAGCTCATTGTAGGTTATTTTTCTGATAATCGAAATTTGTGGGCTATCATAAATGATGGCTGTTTTCTCACCGTTGCCAGACTCAACGTGACGATCGACAGCATTGTAGCAGGCATTCAACTCTCCTCCGACGAACCTATGAGTATATTCGATTTTTTTTCCTTCTATTTTCTTCGTATTTGTTGTTTTTATTTTTTCGTTTGTTTAGAAAATCAAGACGGTCAGCTAGGAGGATAGATAACGTTACTCACCATTTGGTGAAAGGTTCGTTGGAATTGTCGAGGACCTTGTTCCACGGTTTAAACCAATTAATCAATTTTCCTACCTCTGCCCAAAATTCTTCGGGATTCTCCAAAGATCTCTTATAGGCATCACGATAAATAGCAGAATGTTTTTTATATGAACCGAAGTTATTATCTAAACATAGTATAATGATAAGAAATCAGATCGAAGAATAGATTTTCGACGAATTATTGTGATGGTTATTGAGAAAAATTTCTTATAGATCAAGAAGGATCCTTATGGATCTATATTTTCTCAGAAGGATCTCCTTTAGTTCGAAATATGCTTGATTAGGATTTTTTGAGCTGTATATGTCATTTTAAAGGGTATCTTAGACTTCTGTAATTTGTGTTATGTGACAACAGCTTATAAATTTTTAACGGTGTTATATGAAAGCACTAACTTATCAACATTGTTTAGATCTTTTGAATAATACATGTCAAACCCGCTGTTACAAAGTTCATAGTAATTTCCAACGCTACAATCTTTGTCTCGTTTATGTATTTCTTACGTTTATATAAGTAATTATGCATAAATGTAAAAAATGTATAAATATTTATTATCATGTAACTCGTTGCGTCAATGTGGAATTTGGACACCAAATAGTATTATAATATACCATCCATCTAACTTAGGACTTATGGATTTTCTTTATCCTTCTCTTTCATTTTCTTTTCTTTTCTATTTGTTTTTTTTCCCCATTTTTTCTCCCGTACAAATGTACAAGCTCATTCTTAATTGTGAATTATTCTGTTAATTTTTATTAAATAAGATTAAAAGAAAAACCTCGATAAAGTATTTCATTTCGAATATATTCGATAGATGAATTATAGTTTCCACATTGAATATTTTTGATTAATGCTAAATATATAGATAATGTAGATACTTAGTTTTCACAAAATGTATAATTAAGTCGTCATTACGATGTATATCATGATTTCTGTATTTTCTTTATTATTTCTCAACAACTAGATTTTACTCTATAGAGAATTGAAAGAGCAAAAGAGTTTTTTTACTCACCGTTTTTATCCATTTTGTTCACGATCTCAGGACTCCAGACTCGTAATCGGTATTATCCAAGTCCTCAGATGTCTTAAAATCTAGAAAACGTCGGAATTCGATTGATAGGGAAATTTACGAGGGTGTTTCCGAGCTACGACGAAATAAAAAATTTCACATGCCGACTTACTATACAATTAGAATTCAAGCATATTTTATAATTGATTTATATTACCATATAATTTACATATCGTCATTACAATTATTGATTCTTTATTATATCGAACAAATATCAAAGTATCGAATTAATGGAAAATTTTAACGAGCTAACATTGATTTTCGTTTTTCTTTTTTTTTTCTTGATAAAATTTTATATTTCTTTTTTTAAATTTATTTTTTTCTTATGATTGGAACGTAAATTTATCTTGGGTCTATGTATTTATGGAATTTCGTTATGGAAATAAGGTAAGGAAAGTCACGCACGTATTCAAGTACGATTTTATTGTTCTCGAGAAACTCATCTTCAATCTATTTATTTATTAATTTTCCCTTCGATCCCTTCTTCGTGTTTTCTTCGATTCATCGAGTTAGTCCGAATAATACGTTCAAAACGATTCAACGTGATAAAAATAATAAATGAATGAAAAGAACTTTGACACATTGTATATTTTATTTAATTATGTTAAAAGCGCTTGAGCGACGAGCAAATTTTTTTCCTAATTTTGACTTTTTTTATGTTTAAATATTCCTACGTGATAAGTTTGACTTTCGAACAAAATAGTTGAAAAATCAAAAAGTCAATGACTCATCCGTGTCAATTATGAAAAAAAACAGATTTTATCGAACTCGAATTTCGGAAGGAAAAAATAATACGTTCGATTAACCGATAACGCGTGTTATTACAATTACAGGTCGATTAACGTGTGTTATTACATTTATCTATTTATAATTACAATTAATTTCAATTATCATAAAATAGAATCGGGAAATAGGATAAATTTTTTTAAATAAAACTTTGGTCACTTTTGATATAATACATATACTTACGTAGATATCCTCGTTGTCTACTCTTTCTTTTGAAGATATTATTTTACTCTATCATAATGGTTAATAATCCATTGATCATTTGTTATTTAAAAATTTTTAAACAAATTTCTCTCTCTTTCCTCTTTTGGTACACTAGTCGATGAAAAATATATACTACCACACATCAAAATTAAAACTGCTTATTCTTTGAAAGGTAAAAACGAAGCGTTTATATCAAGTCAGCGATCACATGACTACTTTGCTTTTTGATCCCACGGTCACTGTTTTAATTATAATTTTTTTTTACCGACTGTTTCAACGCGAATATTAAAATTACATTGGGTGATTAAAAGTATTAAAACAAATAAAAGGAACGCTCAATTTATATTTTCTTTGATCTTTTTCATTCTTTAAGAGAGGGAGAAAAAGAGGGAGAAATAAAAAGAAAGAGAGAGAGAGAGAGAGAGAGAGAGAGGGAGAGAGAGAGGGAGATAGCTATTATGCCTAACTGGCAGTGACTCTAAAAGAGGCACGAATTACATAAGCATGTAGGATAAATTGTAAAAGGAAAAATTTAAAAATGATAGATCGTAACTATCGAGAATAGGTCGAATTCCTTACCGGATAAGTCGAGAAATAAATCTCATTGAATCTTGCGTCTGCGAGATAGAAGATGGATAAGCAACCAGGAGGCAGAAGTAGCTTTATAACGATCCTTCCGAGTTCGCGTACCGTCACATTGTTCCCATTTTAATCAAGTATCTCGACTGTAAAAGATTTTTTTCACGAATCGTTTCTTTTTCCTTTCTAAATTGAATGAAAACTTACTACGATAGCTAGGAATCGGAAGATTTGTACTTTCGCAAAGAATTGTCTATTCCGTATCCAAAACACAACGCTGTTTTTGACTGTTTCCGATTGCCACCAATGATTTATTACAGGCACGTTAAACATACTTTCTACCCACAATTTTATTTCATAATCGCAATATTCTCGAGCCACGAATACTATATTTAACCTAATCACTTACCATCGATAAATTTATAAAGATACGTACATATTAATATTTATTCTTCGGGGTTGAGGCTTTTAGGAGCGATGATTCATCGTTTTAACTCGTGCGATATTCCAATTGGCATAAAAGATTTTACAATTTATAATATAAAATATAAAATAGAATAACAATGCGATTGTAAATAAAACGATATATTACTTTTACTTTTAATTTATATACTGAAATGAATAAGAAAGAGAAGAAAAAAAAAGAAAAGTAAGAAAACAAAATAGTGCAAACAGTGGAATTCAAATCAGCGATTTCCGAATCAACAGTCTGGAATGTTTCGCAACGAAGTCTCGAAGTTTATTGTCAAACTCTTTATCATTTACTATATCTACCATAATTTATCTGCGATAATTATAATTAACAAAATCATATTTTTCAAAATCGATTCGATATACTTGAGAATGGACGGTTGCTTATCACTTATCACTGCCGACTTTAAAAAAAAAAATTATATATATGTCTAATAAAAAAATTATATATGTGTTGGCAACTATGTGATTGCGGATTTTATTAATAGATGGTCTTAGCACATTCTTTTGTTCCGTCAACATGTTTAAAGCATCTAAACTATGTTATTTTCTTGTTGTTTGAACTTCCGCCTTTAATTTAGCAAGTAAGTTATATCGATTAATTGTTATTTAGTTTCATTTTTATTCCAATTTAAAAATGGAAGAACAAGAGGCGCATTTCAGACATATTTTATTGTATTATTTTCGTAAAGTCAAGAACGCATCGCAAGCACATAAGAAGTTATGTGCCGTATATGGGAATGAAGCTTTAAAAGAAAGGCAGTATCAAAATTGGTTTGCCAAATTTCGTTCTGATGATTTTTTACTGAAAAATGCGCAATGATCTGGCCATCCAGTTGAAGTTGATGAGACCCATATCGAGGCCATTATCAGTTCAGAACGTCATAGGACAACACGTGAGATTACAGAGAAACTCAATGTATCGCATACATGCATTCAAAAAAAATTAAAACAGCTTGACTATGTCAAGAAACTCGATTTATGGATCTTCCATTAGCTAAGGAAATTCATTTGACACAACGCATTAACATCTGCAATTCGCTTCTGAAATGCAACGAAATTGATCCATTTCTGAAACTACTGATAACTGGCGACGAAAAGTGGATAATTTATAATAACGTTAATCGAAAAAGATCGTGGGTGATGCAAGATGAACCAGTCCAAACTACACCAAAAGCTAAGATTCACTAACAAAAGATTATGCTGACAATTTAGTGGGATTATAAAGAAATTCTATACTTTGAACTTTTATCAGAAAATCAAACGATTAATTCAAACGTGTACATTCAACAACTCGCCAAAATGAGCGATGCAATTCAAGAAAAGCGACCAGAATCGGCAAATCGTAAGGGAGTTGTTTTTCAGCATGATAAAGCAAAGCCCCACACCTTTGGTCACTCGACAAAAATTATTGGAATTAGGTTGGGATGTGTTGTTACATCCATCATACAGCCCTGATCTCACGCCTTCAGTTTACCATTTATTTTGATCCTACTACTTAGATGTAATGACGCTGGTGATGTAAAATCACATTTAATTCAGTTTTTTACTGGTAAAAATCAAAAGTTCTATGAACATGAAATTATGATACTGCCTGAAGGATGACAAAAGGTCATCGACAAAAATGGATAATACCTAATTGAATAAAGTTATGTTTTTCAGCAAAAATTTTGAATTTTCCTTCTTATTTAAAATCTGTAATCACTTAATTGCCAATTGAATACAAAAGATCGTTAGCCTCGACTGGAATGTAGGAATGTGCTTTGGCTTTAGTCAAAATTTCCTCCCAATCATACTGATCGGGACTGAGCGGAAAGGTCCAGATACTTTTTCTTTGAAAGATAATGCATTTCGGTGCTTTCACAGATATTAATTTCAAGGCATCATTTAGCACCGTGGTATATCTAGAACAGTCGTTCAAAGGCATGCTTAAACATTTATCCAAAACCATTTAAACACTTCTAAATAAAAAGAATTTGATATTACGTAATAATTTTGTTAGGCTCCAGACCGCAGCTGGCAATGACGACTACCTTTGGTTTCGCGTGATTTATCCTGTTGGCCAGCTCTTTTGCAGCGAATCCTATAGTCCATTGGAAATTGAAAAGAAAACCGATCGTATTAAGGAATATTGAATAATTATAATTATCAAGATTACTTCCAAAAACAACCGAGTGGATAGCACCAAGTCTGTCGACGGCCAAAATGGTTATCATAGTCTCTGGTATAAGTGGCATGTAGATGATAACTTTATTGCCTTTACTAACTCCAATATCAGCTAAAGCGCCGGCCAGCAACGAGGTTTTTTCCAACAGCTCATTGTAGGTTATTTTTCTGATAATCGAAATTTGTGGGCTATCATAAATGATGGCTGTTTTCTCACCGTTGCCAGACTCAACGTGACGATCGACAGCATTGTAGCAGGCATTCAACTCTCCTCCGACGAACCTATGAGTATATTCGATTTTTTTTCCTTCTATTTTCTTCGTATTTGTTGTTTTTATTTTTTCGTTTGTTTAGAAAATCAAGACGGTCAGCTAGGAGGATAGATAACGTTACTCACCATTTGGTGAAAGGTTCGTTGGAATTGTCGAGGACTTTGTTCCACGGTTTAAACCAATTAATCAATTTTTCTACCTCTGCCCAAAATTCTTCGGGATTCTCCAAAGATCTCTTATAGGCATCACGATAAATAGCAGAATGTTTCTTATATGAACCGAAGTTATTATCTAAACATAGTATAATGATAAGAAATCAGATCGAAGAATAGATTTTCGACGAATTATTGTGATGGTTATTGAGAAAAGTTTCTTATAGATCAAGAAGGATTCTTATGGATCTATATTTTCTCAGAAGGATCTCCTTTAGTTCGAAATATGCTTGATTAGGATTTTTTGAGCTGTATATGTCATTTTAAAGGGCGTCTTAGACTTCTGTAATTTGTGTTATGTGACAACAGCTTATAAATATTTAAGGGTATCACGTAGAAGGCGCCAACTTACCGACATTTTTTATCTCTCCTCTTGAATAATACATGCCAAACCCGCTGTTACAGAGTTCATAGTAATTTTCTACGCTACCCGCACCCCCTTTTTATGTCTCGCCTACGTGTTCCTTACAGTGTGTCATGAATTACGGTAACTGTCTACGTTTGACTTTAATATAGCGACATCTACGTTGCGTTAGCATGCAACTCGTTGCGTAAGTATGGAATTTGGACAAAATATAGTATTATACTATACCATCCATCTAACTTAGGACTTATGGATTTTCTTTATCTTTCTCTTTCATTTTCTTTTCTTTTCTATTTGTTTTTTTTCCCCATTCTTTCTCCCGTACAAATGTATAAACTCATTCTTAATTGTGAATTATTTTGTTAATTTTTATTAAATAAGATTAAAAGAAAAACCTCGATAAAGTATTTCATTTCGATTATATTCGATAGATGAATTATAGTTTCCACATTGAATATTTTATGATTAATGCTAAATATATAGATAATGTAGATACTTAGTTTTCACAAAATGTATAATTAAGTCGTCATTACGACGTATATCATGATTTCTGTATTTTCTTTATTATTTCTCAACAACTAAACTCTATTCTATAGAGAATTGAAAGAGCAAAAGGGTTTTTTCACTCACCGTTTTTATCCATTTTGTTCACGATCTCAGGACTCCAGACTCGTAATCGGTATTATCCAAGTCCTCAGGTGTCTTAAAATCTAGAAAACGTCGGAATTCGATTGATAGGGAAATTTACGTGTTTCCAAGCTACGACGAAATAAAAAATTTCACGTGCCGACTTTCTATACAATTAGAATTCGAACATATTTTATAATTGATGTATATTGCAATGTAATTTACATATCGTCATTACAATTATTGACTCTTTATTATATCGAGCAAATACCAAAGTATCGAATTAATGGAAAATTTTAACGAGCAAACAAGATCAACGATATGGAATATATCGCGTGATGCGATGAAGGACGACTATATATAGTAATCATTGCTGACGAAGGAGTAATCTTAGAAACAGAAGGAAACTTAATAATCGAAAGAACAAAACGTGCAATGATTACGAACTATTGAATTACTTTAACGATCTT